GGTGTTCTCATCTGCGGCTCCAGTCTGTCTGCCGCCAGCGGCATCTGATGAACCAGCGATTCATTATTTATTTCTCTGACTGTGCCTTTTCCACAAGCCTTGAAAGCCACGGGCTGGCTGACTGGATGAGGAAAGGGGTAAGCAGTTCCTGGCACTTGTGGTCCCACAGGTACCTGGACAACAAAGTCCCCCACAGCCCCATTTCATAGGTGGGAAAAACTGAGGCTCAGTTTCTGGCTGAGGTCACAGAGCTAGCTTCCACCTCAGGAGTGTTTGTCCCATAGCCTGGACTGCCCTTTCTACAGTGATGTGCGTGATCACTGTGCCTCAGGGGAATGAACGGTGGCTGGGGAGTGGTCACAGCCTAGGGAAGACACTAGTGCTGGTGGAAAAACACAGGAATTCAGCTCACTAGCCAGTGTGCTTGGAATGCAGCCATAGTATAAGGAATTGAGGGCCATAATTAAACTGTAAACGAGACACGTGTGTACGTGCCTGGTGATGGCGCTGGGGCCTTGCACTTGCTAGGCAGGTGCTCTACCACTTGAGCCCCACCCCAGCCCCACACACACCCCTTTTAAAGTTAGGCTGGAGTAGAGCACTTGCCTGGCAAGCACTAGGTCCTGGGTTCCCATGCCCCCAGCATGGCAAAAACAAAACACTACAACTCAAATTAGATGAGTGACTTCATCCTAGTCACAGTAGAAGGTCGGGAAGTTGGAAGAATCACAGAAAGGAAGTTGCTGGGTCAGAATAAAGGGAGTGTTATTGATGACTTTTGATGAATACCAGTAAATGTGCTTCTCCCAGACTTGCTGGGGCCTGGATATCCAATCGTTCTGCTTTTGATTCTGAGGCTGGGGCTGCTGACCAGAGCAGGGTTGCAGGCAGTGGCTGCAGTGGCCCTTCTGGGTCAGCAGTTTTGCTTACTTTCCCCCAGAGGGAGCTCCTCTCACCCCAGCTGGTCCCCCTGCTTTGGGGGCTGAATGGGGAGAGAGGAGGGCACAGACATTGCTATGGATGTGTGTCACACTAACCCTAAGAGGTGAGGAGTAAGCTTCCAGTTTTTAAAAGTAAGGAAACTGAGGCACAGGATTGCATACAGGTACACAGATCGGAGGGGTCCAAGCTGAGCTCAGCCAGACTCTGAAGCCAGGTGTCCCATGGCATCACAGTACTTCCTGCATTCTAGGCTCCAATGCCTAGGTGCAGGGCTGAAGGTGGCCATAAGGTGGGGAAGATGCCTCCTGCTGGACCCATCCTGAGCCTCCTCCATGCCCACCTTTGCATCAGCCCTGCCTCCCCAGCTTCCAGATGACACCCATGGGGGAGTCATCTCTGCCTCAGTCCTGAGTGTGGAATTCTCTTCAAAGCACATAATTCATTCACTCACTGTCACTCATTAAGCCTTCCTCATTCATTCTTTACCTCTTGTTCACCATCTCTTCTATTTATTCAGCAAGCACATCTTGAGCACCTACTGAATACCATTTACTTCTATTGTCTTCTCTCCCTTGAGCTTTCAGGGTTAGGAGAGTTTAAGCAATCAGGTATGGGTGAGATGCCAGGAGCTCCTGAAACAGTGGCCTAAGGGACTGTGCTCCAGAGGGAGGTTCCTCATCATATCAGTCCTGGTCCTTACCTGAGGCCATAGCCACCTCTCTGACCCATGGGCTGCTAAGTGCAGGGGCCCCAGAGGGCTTAAGTGCAGGGCAACTGCAAAGTCTGCCAAAAATCTTGCTGTCCTGTCCTTCCATGAACTGATTTGTCCTCTGCTTAATGTGTCAGGGATCTCCATGCCTCAAGCCCCCTAGGACCCTCTTGTCATGACCCTCACGGATGGGGGGGCAGCAGGTTAAAGATAAAATACTGTGGTCCCCCTCATCCACGATTTCAGTGACCTACAGTTAGGAATTTTCCAGAAATAAGTGGCTCATACATTTTTAAATAACTTATTACAGTATATTATTTTTCTATTTTATTATTATTGCTTACTGTGCCTGATTTATAAATGAAACATTACAGGTACATATGTATCAGAAAAACAATACATATAGGGTACTCAGTGGCTTTAGGCAGCCACTGGGGGTCTTGGAATGTATCTCCTGAGGGCAAGGGGGCCTGCTGTCATGAAAGCAAGGCACCATGGTAGCATGAGGCAGGCTGCTAAAATTCTCTCAGCCTTGAGGCCCCCTGGAATGTACTAGGATTCACCCTACACACACCTCTGCTGTCCACCAGAAGCCAGCCCCTTCAACAGATGCAGAATGATGGGGGACATGTTGCTGGGTTGAGTGACATCAGTAAACATGAGGAGGCTCACTACAGTGGCCCCCTCAGCCTTAAGGCTGACCGTAATTCTTCAGTTATTGGGCCAGTCACTTAGCAGCTTTTTGCTCCCAGGGCCTCAGTTTCCCCACAGGCTGTGTTTTCTTGCATACCCCTAATGCCTGTGTTGTCCCCCTCTGCCCTGGGCCAGCCCAGTAAAAGAAGTCTTCAGACTGGGTGCCAGGTGTATGTGAGTCATAAGCCTGGGGTTCCAAGTTGTATGGAGATGAATAAAGATTGTGTGTGTGTGTATGTGTGTGTGTGTGTGTTTATTTTTTTTTCTTGCTCCCTTGCACTTAAGTCACATTTTCCTCTCCTCTGATCCAAGCTCTAAAAGCATTTTGTGGTATAAAATCTCCCATCATCTGATCACTGTACCGAAATAAACCAGCTCCCCTGCTGTCACCTTCCCTGAAAAGTGGCCCTGCGTCATGCGCTGAGGTAGCAGGGAGAGGCCTGGCCTGCTTGAAAACACTCCATCCTAATCCCCCCAGCGTCCCCAAGCCTCTCCACTCCCCAGGGACTGCTCCAGTTTCTTGGGCTGTTATTACTGGAATGCCAGCTGCTCCACTTACGACCCATCCACACAGGCCTTCTGTCTTTCTTGGGCCTTGCAAGCCTCTGCTTACCTCATCTCATGGAAATATCATTTTAAAAATAAATGCCAGTTTGGCTTGCCCTTCCCTCTTGCCTTCACTGGGTCTCCTGGCCTCCCACTCCTGGCACCAATTATCTCCTGAGGCATTCCCACTTCCCAGAGTCCTGCAGCGTTGTGTGTCAGTAGCTGGCTGTCCACCCACAGTGCCTCCAGGCCTGTATAATAGATATCAGAATAGTAACCAACATAAAAATTTTTTTCTGTAAAAAAACATTAGTTTGATTAAGTTACAAATGGAGTTTTGACAATTTCGAAGTAAAGTTAGTACAGAGGCTTGCTCAACTTAAGATTCAGTTTTGTTCCAATAAATCTGTCATCAGCTGAAAGTATCACGAGTCAGAAATGCACTTACAGCCAGGCATGGTGGTACACATCTGTAATCCCAGCACTCCAGAGGCTGAGGCAGGAAGATGGTGAGTTTGAGGCTGGCCTGCGCTATGCAGCTAGACATGGTTTCAGAAAACAAAAATATAAAACAAAACAAAAAAAATTTACACTAATGCTCCTAAACTAACCATCACCATGGTTTAGCCCATCCTACCTTAAACATAATCAGAACACTTATGGTAGCCTGCAGTTAGGCCTGTTTTATGGTGAAGCATTGGACTATCTCCTGGAATTTATTGAATACTGTACTAAAAGTGAAACACAGTAAAATTGAATATTCCAAGTTTTGACCATATGTAATTCAACTAGATGAGGCATTTCATGCCTAAGATGCAGGAAGGTGTCATGTTAAGATCACAGCACAGACTCCAACATTTCAAACCCCAGTTTGTGAAGTAGGAGAATCTTAAGTTCGAGGGAAGCCTGATCTACACAAAGCCTGTCTCAAAAAAACAAAAAGAAGAAGAAGAACCCTAGTTCATCCACTTGCTGTGGTGTTGGACAAGTGGTTTGGGGTCTCTTGTGACTCAGTTTCGTTAGCAATACAGTAGTACCAACATCCTAGGGTAGACCTGAGCACTTCGGACCATGTCCACAGAGAGAGTGCTCTTGTTGTTGTTATGACGTAACAGAAAGTCATAATTTCTGTACTTCATAAGGTACAGACACACAGGCCACATTCATCATTCTTCTTGTATAGCTGTTCTCAGCAGCTGCAATTTTGACCTCCAGGGAACATTTAGCCATGTCTGGTGACACTTTGGTTGTCACAAGAGGGGGTGGATAGTACTATTATCTCATTGGTAGAGGCCAGGGATGCCTCAGAACATCCTCCAAGGTACAAGGCCCCTATGACTATGACCCAAATGTCATGAGTGCTATTAGGAACTTTGTCCTTAATAGAAGCTTTCTGACAGCTCTGTAGGCCTCCCACTGCTCTGTAGTGGTTGCCATCGTTGTAATCCTGCAATCTTTGGTATATTGGCTTGCTGCCTATCCCACCATACAGTGTAAGCCCCTGTGTGTGAGGGCTTTGTTTCCAGTCCCAGGCCATCCAGGCCAGGCCAGCCAATTGAGCCCACTGCAGATCTCAGTCACAGGCAGCACTGGGCCTGGATCTGTCAGACCCAGATTCAAGTCCCAGGATTGCCTGACTATGTATGACCTTGGGCCAGTGGCATGGCCTTTCAGACCCTCCATCCCTTCATCTACAAATGCGATCATAAACAGTTGACAATCTTGAAATAGAGGTTGAAACCCCAGGCTCCAATGTCAAGACATACCTGAGTTCAAGTCACAGCTCTGCTACTTACTTGGTGAACTTTGGAACTTCCCTTACCCGTCAAGTGGTCTAATAGTCTTCTTCTTCATTCAGAGTTCCTATGGGAATTAAAGGAGCCGATATTGGTGATAATTACTTTTATTATTATTAAAGTCATCATCCAACAAGTGGTTTTCTTTGAGCCCTACATACCTTCCAGGCCGTTTGTTACCAGGTGGCAGGCATGGTGGGCATCATGGGGTAATGTGTCTGCACATACAGAGCTCGTTCATCTTGTGATGCTGGAGGGGTGTGGCCTGATGCTCCCTCCAGCACTGACTTGTTCCCTCCCCCACCCTCTTTCAGATCTGTGCCATCATAGGCGGGACCTTCACTGTGGCGGGCATTCTGGACTCGTGCATCTTCACAGCCTCAGAGGCCTGGAAGAAGATCCAGCTGGGCAAGATGCACTGACATCCTGCCCTGCCAATGGCCGAGCACCCAGGGAGACCACCTGCCCTGCTCCAGCGCCCTGTCTCCCTCTGCCCTCAGGCCTAGGATCTGGCTGCATCCCAAAGTGTGTGTGGGAGGTGGGGGGGCAGGGGTGGCTCGGGTTCCTCAGCTACCTCTTTTTCCCCATGTTTAATTTTAGATAAATTAAACCACCTGAACCTATAGTGTTCCTTTCCCTGGGAAGCCCCAGAGTCAGGTACAGAGGGTTACTCCAGGGATACTGGGGACCTTTCCTGGGAGGGCAGCAATCCCCTCTTGGGAAACAGTCCAGAGTCCCCAACTGCCAGCTCCCACCCAGGCTTTGACAATCTCGCAGCCCCTGCCATTTGGACACAGTCCCCACTTGGTTTCTCCCCGGGTAGCCAGTTTGAGGTCCCAGCATCAGGATCTCACTTCCACCTGGCGCCTTCAACAAAGGATGGTACTTCCCAGGCAAGCCCCTGAGATTTGCCACTGTGGCTGCAACTCTCACTTCTGCCCCATCCCTTCCTGCCCATCCTAGAGCCCAGGCCTCATGTTCCTTGTCCCCACCCATCCTATTCTTCCAAGAAGCAGATACCCAGTAGCTTGGCAACAGTGGTGGAGATTCAGATCTGCCCACCAGTCAGGAGGCAGGTCTCAGATACCCCTTCCTTTCTTGTCCTTATTCCTCTGAACAAACTCCCCCCCGCCCCACACACACCAATGTGCCTCGGCTGCTGTGCTGTGTGGCAACAGCATTTCTTGGTGGAGAGGCTGGCTCCCACTCCAGGCCTTCCCACCACTCTGTGGGCTCTGCAAGGGCAGGGGTGGGAGTTGTGTAACTGGAAACAATCCCTGGAGAGCCACATAGACATGAACTGTGTACTGAATGTCCACGTGGAACTATCCTTCTCCGTAACCCTCAAAAATCATGGCTGGGCTTCTCCCAGACAGCTACCATCGGTCCCAAGGCCTTAGCTGTGTGGAGCAAATGGACCTGCCCTTCTCTTTAGACTTTTGCCTTCCAGACTCCGCAGGGGCTCTGAGCATTTGACCGTCTCTGCAGCCCATTTTGGCCCACTTGACATAGATTTCCCATTGGCTAATCACACACCAACACATTCCCAGCCCACTAGGGGGCTCCAGTGTGTCCCCACTTGCTCCCCAGGTGGGTCCCTACTCTGCTGCTCCCCCTCATCCTTCCCTTTTTGTCCTAAAAGGGAGAGCCAGTGGTCCAGGCATGAATTCCACCCAGGGAATTTTAGCTATGCCCTCACGTCCCATGGAGAGAGCCACCTGCCTGTTTTTCATTTAGATCAAGATTGTTTGCATACTTTTGTAATGAAGGGGAGTTTCCAGTAGAAGGATTTTTTAAAACTATCTATATGGACAGCTCACATCTCTGCCATTTGTAATTTTTGGCTTGAATTCCAATTAGCAAAGCTTCCTTTTTTGCATATGAGTTGAGTGATGCGCTCATGGACTGCCTTTGGTTATTTCTGGTGTCTGTGGCAACTTGGATGGAATTTTTTTTTACATTCTGTTCCCCACTTACAGAAGGAGTCCCTTTGGTGTGTGAATATGTGCACCTGTAGAGGGTGGGGCAGGGTGGGGTGGCGGCAGGAAATGTGTGGCATGCACATGAGTTGAAATCCCACTTTTAGGCATTTTAAAAATAAAACCTGAGGACATAGGGGATGTCAGTTTCCCATGGAAGAGACACCTCTGACCCATTCTTGTAAACAGAATCTCAAGGGGAAAAAATATTTCAGTTTTTCCCCACTTGTTGAGTTCAAATAGATTAAAAAGCTGATTTTCAGAAGGATTGCTGTGTGATTCTTTCTGCTTTGGTTGTGCTTGGAAGCTAGAATCAAAATGAGAATGGAGGCTTGGAGGAATAGCTCAAGTGGTAGAGCGCCTGCCTAGCAAGCATGAGGCCCTAAGTTCAAACCCTAGTACTGCAAAAAAGAATGAGAATGGAATTTGATTCTTGAGTGAGGGCAGATGCTGAAAATCTTGAAAAGAAGGTCTGTTGAGAACTGAAGGAATCACGTAGGATACTTAACTGTTAGAAACCATTGACCTTCAGGAAATTCCAGTTGTCTGTGTTCTATATGGATCATGTCTATGGAGGGCTGAGGAAGGCTCTAGAAAAGGGGTTCATTGTCATCATGTTTGACCATTGGCACCCTAATTCCATATATTTATTATTGGCAGAGAGAGGATCATAATGTCATTGAAGGTCTATGGGTAAGGTAATCCTAAAACTGGAGTTTGGACCCAAGGCCCAAACTCCTGAGATTCCATATGCCAGTTCTGGCCACCCACCTTTAAATGCCAAATAAAAAGGCATGGTGAAGGCAGAGAAAGGAGGTTTATTAAACGGCTCAGGACATGCTATGGGAAGAGGCAGAGTAAGCACTCAGCTAATCTTTAGCCATCTTTGGGATTCAGACATGAGCTATAGGTTTAAACAGACAAAAGAACTGGGGCAGGGGACAGAGGTATGCATAAACAGTCTGGTTGGTCTCTTGACTGTCGGGGCCAGCAATCTTGGTCAGGCAGGTGGTCTGATCCAGTTTTGAAAAGTTATCACCTGGAGGGAGCAATCAGGTTACTGTTTAGAGGATTTTGGGGATAACTGTCCTCACTGGAGGGTGGCAGCTCCAGGTGGCTTCAGTTCATTGTCATAAAGATATTATCAGTTTTGTCCTTTTTGGAATCCAAAGTGATTATAAAGTGACTGTAAAGAGAATGGCTTACAGCAAAGACAGATACAACATGGAGGCAAAGATGCCAGGCTTTTCCTGTTTTTAGTTAATTTGTGGGCTCAGGTAAGGAGTGCTTTTCAGCAAAAGCAACTTGAGCACCTCTTACAGTCCTATTGTGCAGACCAATAGTCCAGACACTTGTAGGACCCAAAATGTGTTCAAGCATTTATGAAAACCAAAAGAATTGTGTCTCCCACTTGTACTTAAGCCCTATTTTCTCTCATTTTTCTTCAATACTGAGGATCAAACCGAGGACCTTCTACTTGCTAGGCAAGGTCTACCACCGAGTCACACCCTGGCCAACTACCTTCTCTTTTGCACTTCCAAATGTTTGCGATTATGTTGTATGTTGAGCACTCTGATTGGGAGTGGGCTGCGGGGTGATCTGTGAGCATGCTCAGAAAGCCAGGACACTCTGGATTAAGCTGATCCTTATTGAACCCCTGCAGAACCTTGCTGCATTCTAACTGTAGCCTCAGTCAGGGTCTTTAGTCTCTTAGTGCCTCAGTTTCCTGGGGTAAAGATGGGGACAGTAACAAAACTACTTCATAGTGAGGTAGGCTAAAGTAGGGAAAGTTCAGGACTCATAGAAAAATACTACATCTTAGATTAACCATGCTTTGGTTTAGGAACTGCCCTCACCTGGCAGGGAACACCCATGCCCCACCCCACTCATTGATTATTGCATGGGAATCACCTGGATCTCCCCGTCCCATAGGTTATGTAGGATTTAAAGCACCTGAAGAACAGAAGCACGCTTTTTCAGCAGACTCTACCTGTGCCCACCACGCTCCCATTTGTATATTCCTTTCCTAACCTTTGATAAACTCCCTTTACACCCACGTGTCCTGCCGTGGACTCTTCCCGGTGGGACACAAAGAATTTGGAAGTCTTCTGATCCCAGACTGTACCAGCACCATTAACTGTAGGGCTTCTGTGGAAATAACATGTACACGTAATATGTGCAAGAAATAATGCGTCAGAACAAAGCGGTGTATGCAGGAAACATGTTCCTGCTCCATGGTAACTTTTCAGAAATGGCGATTGTTCCATATTGGGATTCCCACAAAAAATAGAATCTTCTCCAGAACACAGGCATGTTTAGCTTCAAGCCGAAGACTCCATACATGAAAGTGGCTGTGGTTTGTGGTACTGCTAAGCAGGCACTCTACCACTTGAGCCCCTCTGCCAGCCCTTTTATGTGGTGAGCATTTTTGAGATAGGGTCTCTTGAAGTATTTGCCTGGGCTGGCTTTGAATTTTGAGCTTCCTGGTCTCTGTCTCTAGAGTAGCTATGATTTTAGGTGTGAGTAACTGGTGCCTGGCCATGTCATAAGTTCCTGATTTCAAAGTTCCAGTCTTCAGTTATGCATGTTTCCACACCTGTTTATACCAGCTGTGCTCCATGCTGTCATAATGTGATTTAAGGAGATTCTAGTTAAGCCAATGAAATATGATTGATGGGGGAACCCTAAGTTAAATGTCCTGGAGAAACTGACAAAGTTGTCACCTCCTCCTCAAAATGCCCCTCAATAAGGTATGAACATGACCACAGGAAAAGACTTGACAGTGCTGGAGGCCTCTGTACTCGCTATTCACATTGTAAGTGTCCGACCTCTCTGCATTAGAGAAGCCAAAAACAGGAAAAGTTAAGTTGGTGTATGTCCAGATATGGTTTCTGCCAGGAAAATGGAGATTTCTCCACAAGAAAGCCTGGCAGAGGGTCAAAAGACTGGTAGCTGAGTTTTAAGTTGACATACAGCATTGAAAGGGTAAAATTATGATTTCTCCTTTCAATATACTTCTCCCATTATCTACCCCAATGTGGATCACAGTGGTTTCATGTAGGAAGATTTTTAAATAAAGGATTATAGAGAACCCATAGAGAACTGGGTTGATTGCTGGTAACCTGGGCAAAATGACTTCCCCCTCTCCTGGGGTGGAGCAGTGTGTCACAAAGAGACAAGCTCAAGTGTCAAAGCCCATCTTGCTTGGGGTGGGGGGAATCACAGACAGAGTGAAACTTGGGAAGAAATGGGATGGAAGCCAGGTGCTGGAGGCTCATGCCTGTAATCCTAGCTACTCATGAGGCAGAGATCAGGAGGATTTCAGTTTGAAACCAGTCCTAGACAAATAGATCATTTGATCCTGTCTCAAAAACACCCAACACAAAAAAGGCTATCGAAGTGGCTCAAGTGGTAGAGCATCTCTGTAACAAGCATGAGACCCTGAATTCAAACCCCAGTGCCACCAAAAAACAAAAAACAACAAAAAAAAGATATAGCAATAGGGATCAAATGAGAACTGTGGTTTTTTATTTCCATTTGTCATAAATAATTTTTTAATTCTTGCTACAGGTAGGTATTATCTCCTTTTTAGGAAGGGAGAAACGGACTTAATAACTCATACTGGTCAGCAGATGGTAAAGTTGGAATTCCAACCCAGGTCTGTCTGACTCCAGTGGTTCCTCCTCAGTCCCAAGATCATGTAGCCTGTGTCTAAAAAGAAAACTGGAACTAGGAAGAGGGAAGGATCAGAGCTGGAGGGGAAATCCCCACCCCCTTTAAAATGACCTGTGACAAACTGGGGGTCAGTGGCAGAGTCATCCCCAGATCTTTTTAATCAAGCCCTGTACCTGGCTCCATGTAGATATCAAAAAAGGTGAAGGCAAATGGATGAACATGTGAGCGGCTGAGTAGGTGAAGGACTTAGTAAGTGAATGTGCTGTGGACGAGTCAATGCATAGCGGAGCAGGTGAGAATATGAATGGATGCACACACACAGACACACACACACACACACACACGCTAGCAGCTGCTCCTGGGCTGCCATGGAAAGTGACTGCCTCCCCGCCCCACCCCCCCGCAACCCTTGCAGCCTGGGCACCCCCATGGTGGACAGCACTGCAGCCGGAGGGAGACTTTTCACGCCCAGGGACCACGCGGGTTATCCATCTGACCAGCCAGGAATGGCCTCAGCGCTTGCGGCTGACTTCCTGCCTACAGGGAGCTCAAAACCCGGGCGGGGCGGGGCCGAGAGGCCCAGTGGGCGGGGCGGGGATGGGCGGGGCCTGCGAGAAGGCGGGAGCGGTGGCCGGCTAGTCCCAGCAACCCGAGTAGGCCCATTCCAAAACTCTCACCATTGGGCTGGTGGAGTGTCTTAAGCAGTGAGAGCGCCTGCCTGGCAAGCGTCAGGCCCTGAGTTCAAACCCCAGTTCTGTCAAAAAAAAAAAGGAAAGTGAGGGTAGCATATTTCGTGATCCGTGATCCAGCCACTGTGGCTCATCGCACATTTTTACATCAAATACAGAAAGCTAACAGTTTGCATCATCGGGATTAATGATCAAAGCAGGAATGTGAGGGATGGCTTTAGGATTATCCTGGAGCAAGCCCCAAACGTAAGCCTCCGCTTTTATTAGAAATAATGTCTGAGCCGGGCGCCGGTAGCCCACGCCTGTCGTCCTAGCTACTCAAGAGGCAGAGATCAGGAGGATCGTGGTTGAAGTCAGCCCGGGGAAATAGTTCACAAGCCCTTATCTCAAAAAAAACCCATCACAAAAAAGGGCTGATGGAGTAGCTCAAGGTGTAGGCCCCGAGTTCAAACCCCAGTACGGAAAAAAAAAAAAGTCTGGTTGTAATTCAGGGTTGTGTGCCAACACTGCTCTAAACACTCTAAATGGATGAACTCATTCAATCGCCAGAACAACAATCCAAGGTGCCTACTAAGACCATCCCCATTTTACAGATGAGAAACTGAGACAGGCAGCTTCCCAAAATTCAGCAGTAGGAAGAGACACTTGGGTCCAGGTTTGACTCCACAACCCCAGGACTAAACAACCAGGACGCAGGTGTGCAAAGGCCAGGTGTTTGATTCAAATCGATCCTCAAACATTGGTGCTTCTTAAAATCTCTGGGAAGGGAGAAAGTGCTTGCTTTAAATTCAAATGTGAGGGGCAGGGAGTGTCATTCAGTAGAATTATTCAAATCCCAATAAATAGAACTGGGATTTGAAGTCCGGTCTCCCCGAATCTCAAGTCCATGCTTGGAATCTCAGCTCTCTCCTGGCTCTCAGAATTTATCAGTGAGATAAGAAGTGAAGCTTCAGAGAAAAAGCCAACATTGATAACAGTGATGGTTCAGAAAATAAAGCTGATGAGACCAAGTTCCTTATTATAAAGTTCCATCAAGTGCAATATGTGTGAAGCCCTGGGTTCAATTCAAGCCCCAATAAATAATTTAATTCAATTTATTTTTAATTAACTCAGGTTTAACCCAGGCTTGCCACTGCATGGGTGTTTGTTTTGGGTGGTATTGGGGTTTGAACTCAGGGCCTCATGCTAGCTGGGCAGGTGCTCTATTCCACCAGCCATTTTTGATATTGGGTATTTTCAAGATAGGGTCTCTTGAACCGTTTGCCTGGGCTGGCCTCAAACTGAGATCCTCCTAATCTTGTGTGAGTGGCTAGGATTACAGGAGTGAGCCACCAGAACCCTGCCTGTTTGTTTTTGAAGTATGCAGTTTGAACTCAGAGCCTCACACTTGTGGAGCAGGCGTTGTACCACTTGAACACTCCAGCCCTACTGTGTGGTTTTGTAGGATGGTGGTAGGGCCCCCAAACTTGGGGGCCAGTCGCAGATGGCATTTGGAAGGAGCATCATGGTGTTTAAAGCACTTGAACCATATACAGTCAGCTCTCTGCCTGGGTAGGTTTCACTTCCACCAGACACAGATGGAAAATATTTGGATTTTTTTTTTCATCTGTGCTGAACATGTGAAGGTTTATTGTTCTTGTCATTATTCCCTAAGCAATATAATATAGCAACTATTTGCATTATATTAGGTGTAATTGTATAAGTAATCTAGAGATGATTTAAAGTTGACTAAAGGATGTATGTAGGTTATATGCAAATATGCCATTTTATAGAAGAGATTTAAATATCCTTGGATTTTGGTATGGGGGGGCTGGAACCAGTCCCCCAGAATACTAAGGACAGCTGTACAGTACATATCCACGACTTCTGGTGGGTAACAGGGGAAAAATTAAAAAAAAAAAGGGTTTGGGTAGGTGAGAGACTATGGCCATGCCTATTAAAAGGACGTCAGTAAGTGATGGCTGGGTGTAGCTCGCAGAGCGGGTCATTACCATGCACGAGGGTCCTGGATTAATCCTCAAAACCAAAAAAAAATCAAGAAATAGGTAAAAACAGGTCTTTAACCCCAGACAGAGATCCCAACTCTGGCTTTCCAGACTGATGGCCAGTCGGGCTCCCCATGATGGCGCTGCGATTCCACCCCATGCAGCAGGGGGCGCCATTCTACTTTTGTCCTGCAGGAACGGAGCATTCTTATCTTTCTGTGCTTGCGCCGGCAAGTAAACGTCACTTCCGGCCCTGCGCATTCTGAGCTCGCCGGCGCGGGGTAGGTGAGTTGATGCTTGTGATTTTCGTGAATTCTGAAGCCCACCGCCCCGTGCCACCCTTCCCCAGCGTGCGGTGGGAACACGCACTACCCGCAGCGGTCTCTCTGCGCGATCCCCGGCCCTAGCCTCCCTCGTTCAGCGCCCCGGCGCCGTGCCTCCCCCAGCCCCTGTGATCAGGCATGTGCTCCCCAGCACGGTCCTACTCTGTGACACCCAGGCCACTCACGTGCCCTGTTCTCCATCTCCGAGGCCACGACTCCTCCTTGGGCGCTTGCGCGGGGATGGGGAGCAGTGTCTTGGGTGGCGAAGAGGCACCTGTACCCCACTGAGCGCCCCTCCCTCCCTGCTCTTTGCAGACGGCCACCATGAAGTTCAACCCCTTCGTGACCTCGGACCGCAGCAAAAACCGCAAACGCCACTTTAATGCCCCCTCGCACGTGCGCAGGAAGATCATGTCTTCTCCGCTCTCCAAGGAGCTGCGGCAGAAGTACAACGTGCGCTCCATGCCCATCCGCAAGGACGACGAGGTCCAGGTGTGTGCGCTACTTCCTCGCCTCCTTGTTACCTAGTGTGGGCCGCCCGGCCGCCGCCTCTGCTTGAGTGCATCCTATGACCCTGGTCCTGGAGGCCTTAGAGACTTAGGCCCTCGAGGCCCCGCAGGCCTGTGGCTGCAGCTGTGCTAGATCGGAGATGAAGGCCAGACAGTGCCTGCTTTAACAACAGTAATACAATCTGCTTTCGGTTAACTCACGGCTTTTTGTTTGCCAGGCATTGCTTGGGGGTGGCCCTTTGAACCAGTATGAGAGTAAGTAGTGTTTTGGTGTCTCGGAGTTTAGTGGGATTGATGGACAGGGGTTGGCAGGGAATATGGAGAAGCAGCAGCAAGTCAGGTGCAAAATTATGAAATACTGGAGCCCTTAGTTACCATGTGGGTATCAGCCCTCTGTTCTCTGTAACTGAAGTTTGGGATGTGTGGGAGGGAAAGCGGAGTGGGGGCAAATGATTCACCCCTGGAAGGAATATTTATTGAGCACTTACCAGGCATTGTTCTAGACACAGCCGTGAGCAAAACTTATAAAACCCCTGTTCGGGTGGAGCTCACATTTTGGGTAGGGCATCTTAATCTCAGTGTGGTTTGCACCTTCTCAGCCGTTGGCACCTTGAACCTGGTCATTGTTGTGGAGCTGTCCTGTGCTTTGTAGAATGTTTAGCAGCATCCCTAGTCTCTCTACTAGATGGCAGTAACACTAAATAGTCCCTTTTGTCATTGTGGCAAGCAAATATATTTCCACATACTACTGTATGTGCCCTGGGATATAACATTGGGTCTCCCTTTCCCAGTTGAGAATTAAATGAATTAAAATGAAGGAGTTCCTTCATTCTCCTTCCCACTCTGGAGACAACGACTTTCAGTCTCTTAACAGTGTATTCCTTTCCTAATAAGCTTTAGTGTCACTTTCATTACAGAAAAAAGTTGAAGTGGTTTGATGTGTCTTCTGGGACTCAGCACTGACGGTTGAGGGATGTGTTAAGGGTAAGTTTAGGCTGAGAACGTGACAGGAGTAAATGGGAAGAGTTCAAAGGTGTGATCAATGGCTTGAACCTCTTCTGGATCCTTCCCATCAGATGTGTTCTAGAATAGGGGAATGGCAAATGCCTATAGGGACTAGGTAGGCAAATTAAGTAAGAAAGATGAGTTGATAAGAAAATGTCAACCTGGAAAGTACATGCCTCATTTAAAGGAGAGTCATGTGCCTAAGCCCATTTCAGCCTAGGAAATGCAAACTCAATGTTAGATTCTTTAATTTTGCAAAAGAAATGAAAAATTCAGATTGTCTTCCTCAGCTGCACATTCCCTTCCAGCCACTACTCTCTGTTCCTCATTTCATAGCTAAGCTCAACACAGTTGTCTACACTTTACCTCCCATTAACTCTTGGCCTCCAGTATCATCCCTGTCCTTACTACTTTATTGGTTGAAGTCACCAATGACCTTTTTCTGGCTAACTTCAGAGGACACTCTTGGTCTCATCATTACACTTGACTTTTCAACAGCATTTGGTATGGGTGGCACCACCCCAGTTAAAATGGTCTGTTTGGTTTCCTTGACACTTCATGCTCACAGTTTACTTCCAATTTCTCAACATCCTTTACTGGCAATATGTCCTCTCTGTTGCCTAACCTTGGAGTTCATCAGAGCCTGGTCTAACATCTCCAGCTCTGTGTTTTCTACCTAAGTATTGTATACAATAATAGGTGATGTTCTATTCTCAAAACTGTAAATGTGTGCTCTATGCTGGCAACTCCTCTTATATATGCTGGCCTAATCACTTCTGAGCACTGACCTACAGATCTAATTACCTGCTGAAATCTCTATTTAGATCCTTTGTAGACATCTCCAGTTTCCTATTAAAGAACACTCTTCATCCTAACACTCACACTGCTTCCAAAATCTGATTCTCCTTCATCTTCCACATCTCAGTAAATGATACTTATGTTTTCACAGTTGCATTGCATATACCATAAACCTTTAGGTTATCTTTTTTTTTTTCCATTTTTGGCATCGCTGTGGGGTTTGAACTTAGGTCCTCCTGCTTGGTAGACTGTTGCTCTTACCATTTGAGCCACTCCACCAGCCCTTTTTTGTGATGAATTTTTTCACAATAGGGTCTCCTGAACTATTCGCTCAGGGCTGGCTTTGAACTGCGATCTTCCTGATCTCTGCCTCCTGAGTAGCTAGGATTATAGCTGTGAGCCACTGGCACCAGGCTAGGTTACCTTTAATAACTCTCCTCATTCTCCCTCTTCTAATCTACTACCACGTCTTATTGATTCTGTCTCCAAAATAAGTCGAGAGTCCCACTGTTCGCAGTTTAGTTCAAGCCATTTCAGCTTCCACTGTTAGCCTTGACCATTCTCAAAGTGGAGTCATCTGGAAGATCAAATCAGTCTTCTATCCACACGTTTTGATGTGCATACTATAAAATCTAAAAATCTAAAATTGTTGGCTGTAGGCCCTATGTGATCTCGTGCTGGCCTACCTCTTCAGTCTCATCTACTAACCCCATGCTCTATCTACAGTTCATGCCAGTGATTTCAGATCTCATCTTAAATGTCAGTTACTCAGAGAGCCTTCTCAGATCCTTTAATCAGTAGTATAGCGTTACATCCTTTATTTTTCTTCATAGCAATGAACATCATTTGAGGTCATTTTAGGAGAAAGAAAAAAAACAAGCATGATTTACATATAGTAAAACTCACAGGTCAGTTTTGGCAGATAAAAACCAGGTAGCCGTTACCTTAGTCACAGTAGAGGTTATTTTTAGTCATCCCGGTAAGTTCTTATGTCCCCTATTCCAGTTAGATTACATGTTAGCATATTTATTGTTAACTGCCTACTATCCTTCAGACTTAGCTCCACAAGGCCAGAATATTTGTCTTGTCTGTTGCCTCACGTCAGTGTAGAGCCTGGCACTCAGCAGGGAATCAGTAAGTACTTGTAAAATAAATGAAAAAGTATTGACTGGAAGGAGAAATAAAGACACCATTGTTGCAGTACCAGGGTTTGAACTCAGGGCCTTACACTTGCCAGACATACGCTCATACCACTTGAGCTACTCCACCAGCAAGATGCCATTTTTGAATGCCCACGAGGTATCAGTTGTTGCTTCCTTTATAGACAGCAAGAAACTGAAACCCAGATTAAATAATAGAGACTAATACACACACCACCACACCCAGCTTTTTCGTATTATCTTCTGAATCTCACCTACTCTCTCACCTTGCCTTCTCTCATGGTATACTCATTACTGTCCTGTGGACAGCTTCCACCCCCACTACTCCACCCGTGACTGCCTTGTCAAGCATGTTGAATACCTGATCTTGCACTCAGTGGTTCCACAGCATTTGATATTCTTTTCCTGGCTATTGTAACACCACACTCCTGTGATTTCCTTTTCTCTCGAGCCACTGTGGTTTCTCCTTTAAAGTCTTCCAAGATGTTGGCTTTTTCATGTTTCTGCATTCTGTCACTTCTCACACCACCAGCTCCCTGAGCAAAACTAGGCTTTGAATTACATTTCCGGGTGATTCCCATGTCTACTGCTGACCCATGTGGCCTTCCACCAGTGTATCCAATTCTCCACTAGTATGACACCAGATGCTTTAAATCCAACATGTTCCAAACGTAAAGCTTTCCCTCTGAAATCTGTTTCCTTCCCTGTGCTCCATGCCTCTGGGAAGGCATGACCATCCAAACGTGTCCGGTGGTGTTTTCAATGAGGCATGCATTGCTGTCCTCTTCAGTCTGAAAATCACCTTGAAAAGTGAGCTGAATGATCTAGGTAGACAATGCAGGAGTTTGCAGGCTTTTGGGTTCTTTGTGGAATTTCCTCTGTACTTGTCAATCAGTTATATGTTATATCTGCTGTTTATTGGACCTTCAAGAAAACCATAGTTTTTCTTTGTTTGTTTTTGGCAGTACGGGGGTTTGAACTCAGGACTTCATGCTTGTTAGGCAGGTCCTCTACCATTTGAATCACTCTGCCAGCCCTCTAGTTTGTTTTTCTGTTTTGTTTTGTTTTTTGTTTCTTTTAAGCAAATCAGATCTTTAGTACAGGAAAGCAGCCCATGAGATTTTAATTTGATTGTGATCTCTGAGGCTATTTTCTGCCTGCCTAATTAGACAGCTTTTGTCAATATTTACATATATATTTCCATCCTCCATATATCAGTCTCATCTATGCCCATCTAATTCAGAGTGTGTATAGCTTTCTACTTTTCTCTTTAAAGTGCTTATCTGGATAATTTTTACAGGTTATATATATTTTTTTAATGGAGTGTTAGGGATGGAACCCAGAGCCTTGCACTTGCTAGATAAGCACTCCCTCCACTGAGCTATGTCCCCAGCCCTAAAATATTTTTTTGAAAACATGGGTTTTTGAATGATTGCATGGCACTGTCAGTATAATTTCTTTAACGATTCTTTTGTATTTAGATCTTGAAATGGATTAGTTTCTTATTCTTGAGACTTGTTCTGTGATGACTATCATAGCCCATGGAGGTTAGTTTTTTATATTTGTTTTGTTTTGTTTTTGTAAGAAGAAAAGAAATAGGTGAAAATTTTCCAGCCAGCCTAGCATAATAAAAATGGCATATGGCTTTTGATTACTAAGATTACCTTGCTTTTGGACAAAAAGTTACATATTTACTCTATGTGTTCCTGACAATTAGCTTCCTCCTGATGGTCATGAATTAAAACTGGGGAGATCCTCTTCTGTAATTTGTTGTAGGTGGTTCGAGGACACTACAAAGGTCAGCAAATTGGCAAGGTAGTCCAGGTATACAGAAAGAAATATGTCATATACATCGAGCGGGTGCAGCGTGAGAAGGCCAATGGCACAACTGTCCACGTGGGCATTCACCCAAGCAAGGTAAGGTCCCTGACTATGTGGTGGCAGCAGCCGTGTAGTGTAGCATTACTGTTAGAGTTGTTGATATGTTGCCACTGTTTGCGTAGGTGACTGAGGGAAGGACGTAGAAGTAGGTTAGGCAAGCTTGACATCAGGAATTCTGGCTCTTAGTCAGGCACTGATGGCTCATACCTGTAATTCTGGCTACTTGAGAGGTTGAGATCAGGAGGATCAAGGTTTGGGGCCAGCTCAGAGAAATAGTTCCCGAGACCCTGTCTCCAAAAAAAAATAACCAGAGAAAACTGAGATAACTGGAAGTGTTACTCAAGTGGTAGAGCAACTGCAAGCGCAAAGCCCTGAGTTCAAATCCCAGTCCCACCAAAAATTTAAAAAGAATCTTGGCCCTTGTCTCATTTGCCATTCTTGATGATTGTTCTGTCCTCTTGCTGGTGGCAAAAGTACTCTAGGTATTCCAGGATCGTTTCTGCACAGTGTCCCGGGGGAGAAGGGACAACATGTTCCAGGGCCCTCATACCCACCCAATAGGATACACTGCTCTGCCTTTGCATTATCATTTTGTATTGTGTTGCAGGGTCTTTCTCTCTTTACTGAGTTTCAGATCCTTAAAGGCAGAATGGCTAGGTGTTAACTTACCTTTATGGTCTCTGCAATGCAGACTTTTTTTTTTTTTTAAGCAATGCTTCTTGTCAGGGATAATGAACAAAATTTCCAACCCAAATAACATATCACTGAACTATCTAAATGATTTCCTGAGATCTTAGGGAATTCCTGGACAGGAGGCTGGCTAGAGGAAAGGGACCTAAGCTGCTCTTTACTGTGTAAGGAAGCTCTATTCAGGATGATGGTGGTTATAACTTATTCCCACTTAAAAAAATAAAGATCTGTTTGTTTTCTTGAAACAGGTGGTAATCACCAGGCTAAAACTGGACAAAGACAGAAAAAAAATTCTTGAACGCAAAGCCAAGTCTCGACAGGTTGGGAAAGAAAAAGGCAAATATAAGGAGGAACTCATTGAGAAAATGCAAGAGTGAATGGAAACTGCATGCAACCACAGGTTATGTGGGGAACTCTAGCCTAGCCTGTAGTGTTTTGGAACTTTTCAAGGTGTCTCTGGAATGTTTTATTGACCACCTGTTTTGTTATTATCTGTAACTCTAAGTCTAGTTTTGCAATTTCAATTAATAATTTTGTGAATAAAAATTGGAACTATTTCCTGATTCTAAATGGTATTTGCATGGTTTTATACATGATCCATCTTCTCCATCCTCTTTGCCAGTCTTTCATATGTGTGGAGCAGCACAATAGCAGTGGAGGATTAGAGCAGCCCTGCCCCTGCCTGTACCCATATGCCCACCAAGTGGAAATGGCAGGGCTTGGTCCCTGAGCCAGAGGTTTGCCCCAGTAGGTATTGTCATGACAGGAACTGGCACCCTCAAGGCCTGCTAAGCTCCTGGTGCTGTTTGTACTCACATCTCTGGCCTCCTGACTTGTACTACCCAGCTTCCTCTTTGTCACACTAATCAAACCAAATCTCTTATAAGCTCCCTGGCCAGGCTCTCCTTCCCAAGGTCTTGAATTCACAAGTACCTTTTCCATGTAACTGAAATGGCTGTCTTCTGGAACTGACTCAGAAAACTAGCAGCCTGTGGCAAGGTTTGACTCAGATTTTGTTTGTCCTTATATTTTTGTAGTTTTTACAAATTTCCACATCATTTAAGATATGTGCTCTACAGAGGATCCTGGCTGTGCAGGGCTCTATTCCTCCTGTGCAGGGGGTGGAGCTAGGAGCTGGCACCGCCCACCTGCGTCCTTATCCAGCCCCCACTGGCATCTGAGTTTTAGGTTGCAGGTGTGACTTCAAGACTTACTCCAAAATCACATCTAAAATCCTCCTGCCCGTGGAAAAAATCATCTTACTGATTAAAGTGCACCAAACAGCCTTTCTTTTCTGTGGTGCTAGAGATGGAACCCAGGTTCTGTACAGGCTAAGCAAGTGCTTTACTACTGAGCCAAACCCTTAGCCCATGGTTTTTTTGTGATTTTCTGCTCTGTATGTATGTATATAAGAAGCTAGAAATGGTTTTGCGTTTTGTTTTTGGTGGGATTGGGGTTTGAACTCAGGCTTTGTGCTTGCAAATCAAGCCACTTGACCCACTCCTCCAGCCCATTTTGCTCTGGTTATTTTGCAGATGTGATCTTATGAACTATTTGTTCAGGCTGGCCTTGAACCTCGATCCTGATCCCAGCTTCCCAAGTAGCTAGTATTACAGGCATAAGCCACTGGCTCCAAGCTTGTTTTTAGTTTGTTTGGGTTTTTTTTTTGGCAGTACTGGGATTTAAACTCAGGGCTTCATGCTTGCTACATAGGTGCTCTACAACTTGAGCTACTCCACCAGCCCTTTAGTTTTTTGAAACAAGATCTTGCTATGTAGCCCCGCTCCCTCCAACTCAAAATACTATTGATTTAGGCTCCTGAGTGCTGGGATTAACCATGCCCAACCATACTTATCTTTAAGTTGTGAAAACTGAAGTAGCAGCCCACCAGGCTTGCTTGATCTTGTGAGTGGCTTTGATGCCTGCAATTTAGTTCTCACCCTTTTGTCTAGAGGTTTCTATATTGCAGGGAGAGATTCTGTATCATAAGAGGTTGTGTGTGTGTGTGTGCTCAGGCACCTCACATGAACTTTGTATGTTTCTTAACATAAATTTGGAAAACTAGATGAATATGTACGTAAGGTAAATGTAGATTATAAAACAGAGGGGTTGCCTGTCACATGACAGCTATGTAACTATTAACATGCTGTGTCTAATGAGTACAATGAGTAGGTTAACCAGTAAGGTCTGTAGTTACTGTTTTTTAGTTTGAGTTTTGTCCTCATTCTCAACAGCACATGGTCTAGAGCTCCAAAAGCTGCATAAAAGTCAAATTTCAGGGTGGGCTAACTTTCCAACCCCTCACTGTAATTCTATTACCGGGTCAGAGCCCGGGGCTCCAATCGTTATGCTCATCAGTGAATTTCAATCATGATGTCTTCTAGATTTGGCTTGTTTCTACCACTGACTGCAATCCACATAATAGGCAAGAGCTTTTTGAGAGCTGTGATCCCTCCACAGGCATCCAAATCACCTGACCACTAATGCTGAGCTAGGTGATTAAGAGCCGCAAACTGAATTCCAGTCCCAGCTTGTTCATTTCCTACCTGTGTGACCTTGAGCAAACTACTCAACAACTCTGGGTCTCACAGTTGTTATTTATAGGATGAAGATAAAACTAGTACCTCCCTTATAGGGTTGCCAGGCTTCTTATTCAGGATACTGTGCAAAAAGCAGAGAGCTCAGAACACCTGTTGTCTTTTAAAGAAGATGGGCAATGATTTGATTAACATTTGTAGAGGGACGTTTTACTCAAGGGAATGCAGACAAATACCGTTTTTTGTTTTGTTTTGTTTTTTCGGCAGTCCTGGGGTTTGAACTCAAGGCCTCTCACTTGAGTAGGCAGGCGCTCACTCTATCACTTGAGCTACTCTTCCAGCCCTGAAAGCGTGGTTCTCAAATGAAAAAGTTAAAGGCAGCTGGCCTGGATCCATAATCCTAGTACCAGCCTCCCAAGTATCTAGGATTACAGTCATGGGCCATCGGCAACCAACAAGGACCCCAACTTTCAAACTGAAGAGAACTGCTTTTGGATGTCTGTTTTCTGATCACACTTAGATATGAGATGTTCAGCCACAGAGCTCTGGGTAGGAGTTGGGTAGGCAAATAATTGGAGTTCTGCAGGAGCCAGATAGAATTCTATTCACCAGGAATCCACTATTCTCAGCCAATGCTGTGGGCTTTGAGCAGTTCCCACCTGGTGTTGGCTTGGGTCTTTGCTCATTACTTTAAATTACAGCATTTAAAATAAGTGGTATAGTTCCATGACAGAGCACTTTACCTGGTATGTATGGGGTCCAGGATTCAATTCCCAGAACTGCAAAAATAAGTAATACAAAAATTTAAAAGTACAAAAGGTAGATAGCGAAAAGCAAATTTCTTTATCACATTGATTTTTGGTCACTCAGTTCCCTCCAGGGACAGTCATTAATCCACTTTTTTTTATTTTTTGAGACATTCGTAGCTTAACCACCAGTATGGCTACTAATCTTTCATTTGTATCCTTCCGGAAATATTGTATGCTTATACAATTGGATTTTTAGTGAAAATTTGATCCATAAGACATCTTCATGAGAAAGGAGGTCATCAAAATCTAATTAAATGGATATATAAAGTTGATTTATTGCGTGAACACTGTAATTACAATGTAAACATGCACAAATGGGAAACCAAACATTGTTTGTCCATCAGAAATAAGTGAATTAAGCTCAGCCCAGCTTATCCCTAGGGAGGCAGCTTACTATAGATTTTGTTCTTGTTCTTCCCTCTGCTCCCCCCAACCCAAGTGCTGGGGATGGAACCCAGGGCCTCCCACATGCTAGTTAAGTGTTCTACCACAGATCTATACCCCCAGCTCCAAGGGCAGCTCATTCTACAACAGTCTTTCAAAGGTCCCACTGAAGGCAACAGATGACTCCTGTAAAGTGATATATAATTTGGAGTTTGTGTGTAAATATATATATATACATATATATATATATACACATATATGTATATATATATATATTTTTTTTTGGCTGTACTGGGGCTTAAACTCAGCGCCTCATGCTTGCTAGACAGGTGCTCTGCCACTTGAGTCACTCCGCCAGCCCTAATGTAGGGTTTTTATATGCTCACTTATTACTTGAAGTGGGGAGAACAGGAATATGAAGACCCACATTCATTTTTCTTTTTCTTATTTTTTTGGCGGCACTGGAATTTGAACTCAGGGCCTCACACTCCCTAGGCAGGTGCTTACCACCTGAGTCACTCTACCAGCTGGAAAACCCACTCAGATTCCAGCTCTATTTAGCTACACTTAGGGTAAGTCACAAATCAGAGCCTCTTCCTCATTTGTAAAATGGAATTAATAATATCAATAGTGCAGGTAATGTAAAGCGCTTGGTCCAGTGGATAGCATAGGCCAGGGACTTAACTGATAGCTGCTGCCAGGCATAGTGGGCATGCCTCTAATCCCAGCTACTAGGTAGGTGAAGCAGGGGGAGTGCAAGTTGGAGGTGAGTTGCAGGCAAAGGTCATGAGACCCCATCTCAAAAACAAGCACACAAACAAAATACAAACATGGGCTGGGGGCCTAGCATGCACAAGGCTCTGGGTTCAAGCTCCAGTACTGCTAAACTAAATAAAAGATAAATTTTAAAAGAGAGACAGAGAGGAAAAAAGTGATAACTGCTGTCTCAGTGGCCTACTGAGCATGTTCTGTGTATATGTACTGGACTAATGAGGAATGAACTTTTTTTTGTGGTACTGGAGTTTGAACTCAGAGCCTCACACTTACTTGCAGGCGCTCTACCACTTGAACCACTCTACCAGCTCTATTTTACGTTGAATATTTTCAAGAAAGGGTCTCTCAAATCTAAGCTGGCTTGGAACCGAGATCCTCCTGATCACTGCCTCCTGAGTAGCTAGGATTACAGGCGTGAGCCACCAGCGCCCAGCTGAGTAATGAATCCTCAAGTTTTCAGCTTCTCTAGAAACTTCTAAGATTTCAGATTAGCTTGGAAAGGAGTTTTATGACTCCATAGCTTTCTGACTCTGCATGCCTGGGTTTTTTTAAGTTTTTCTTTTATTGATATATTTGTTTATTCCTTGCTCTGTGTTTGTTTATAGGACTGGGCTTAGGAAAGAGGGACTCCTCAGCAGCCTGGGGTAGTGTTCTCTCCAGCTCTTGTGCACGCCATACTGTTGGGATTGCTTCCGGGGCTTTTCCTCTAGCAGGTTTCTCAGACATTTTGCTCCCAAGACTTGTTTGCATATTGAAAAATTATTGAGGCTGGGTGCCAGTGGCTCACACCCTGTAGTCGTAGCTACCCAGGAAGCAGAGATCAGGGAGACCATGGTTCAAAGCCACCTGGGCAAATAATTCAAGAGACCTTATCTTGAAAAACCCTATCACAAAAAAAGGGCTGGTGGAGTGGCTCAAGGTGTAGACCCTTGAGTTTAAACCCCAGTACTACCAAAAAAAAGAAAGAAAGAAGAAAGAAAGAAAGAAAGAAAGAAAGAGAGAAAGAGAGAGAGAGAGAGAGAGAGAGAGGGAGGGAGGGAGGGAGGGAGGAAGGAAGGAAGGAAGGAAGGAAGGAAGGAAGGAAGGAAGGAATTTTTAAAAAGAAAGTTATTGAGGTTGGACTAGGGTCATGGCTGAAGTGGTACAGCCCCTGCCTGGCAACTGCAAGGTCCTGAGTTCAAATTCCAGTACCCAGAGCACAGCTCAAGTGGTAAAGTGCCTGCCTACCAAGCACAGGCCCTGAGTTCAAACCCTAGTACCACCAAAAAAATTAAAAGAGTCCAAACCCCAGTACAGCCAATATAAATAAATTAGATTAAATAAAAAAATTATTGAGGACCCAGCCAGCTTACATGTATATGGGTTATATCTGCCGATTTGCTGTATTAGAAATTAAGGGCTGGGTTGTGGATCAAGTGGTAGAGTTACTTACCCAGCACGAGCAAGGCCCTGGGTTCAATTTCTGGAAGGAAGGAAGGAAGGAAGGAAGGGAGCGAGGGAGGGAGGAAAGAAAGGAAAGAATTACAGATTTAGCTGGCTATGGTGGCACATACCTGTATTTCCAGCACGTGGGAGGTGGAGGAAGGAGGATTGTGAGTTCAAGGCTAACCTGGCTACATAATGAGTTCCAGGCCAGCCAAGAAAGGAAAAGAAAAGGAGAGGAAAAGAAAACTTTGACAGATTTATTTTAAGTTCATTTAAAAATAGCCATAGGGCTAGGGATGTAGCTAAGTGGAAAATCCAGTGTTGAGCATGCCAGCTGCCCTGGGTTCCATCTCCAGCACCAAAACAAAAATAGCAATAAACCTAGGATATGTTAACATAAATAATGTTTTTATGGAATTAGTATTTTTTCCAAAACAAACAAGCACAAATATAGAGGGAAGAGTAACATTGTGTTCCATTTTTGCACAATTCCTCAACCTCAGCTTAGTGGAAGACAATGGATTCTTCATGCTTCTGATTCAGTCTGCTGTTATCTGTAGTTCTGGATGAAGTATGATCAGAAAAGAGAGGTCCTCCAGGTCTGCTGGGAGTCTCTGGTCCTCTCCGGAGTCTGATTTATTTCCTGGAGACTTTAAGCTCTTTGAGGACAGACGGTAGTTGTTCATTCAGAGATCACCGAATCACAGCACCTGGCCTTAACCCACAATTTTCATTTGGAATATGTGATAACATGTTTTTGCTAGATTGACTGATAGAGGGAGCTGTTGGCCAATACTAACCCACAAAACTAATGCTGAGATTAGGGGCCTTCTCATTGCACAGAGAATGAAACCCAAACATACAGACAGATTTGGGAATGAAGAGCTGCATCCCTGCATTCCCTGACGGCTCCTCCTCTGCTTCCTTTTCTTGCCCCCCCCCACCTCTTGCAGTACTCAGGCCCTCACACTTGATAGGCAGGTGCTTTACCACCTGAGCTATGCACCCCACCCTTTTCTGCTTTAGCTATCTTTCAGGTAAGGGCTTGTGTTTTTCCCCAGGCCGGCCTGGACTGCAAACCTCCCATTTGTGTATCCTCAGCTATGGGATCATAGGCGTGACCACCATGCCCAGCCATTGGTTGAGATGGGGGATCTTGAACAGGCTGGCCTGGCACCACAATGTCCTTCTGATGTCTGCCTTCTAAGGAGCTAGGATTACAGACATGAGCCACCATGCCCAGCTGACACCTGCTTCTTAAAAGAGATTGCCTGCAAGTTGAAGCAAAGTTTAGAAGCAATTTAGCAAAGTAAATTGCAGAGATGAATTTCAGACAAAATAGTTGAATTTACTTAAAAAATGGGAAAGAGTGCTGGGTCCATGGCTGAGTGGTAGAGCATCAGCCTAGCAAGCACAGGGCCCTGAGTTCAAATCCCAGTACTGCCTAAAAAAAGAAAAAAAAAATGGGAAAGACTTCACAATAACCAAAAAGTGGAAGCAACTCAAATGTGCATCAGTGGATGAATGGATCAGCAAAACATGGTACAATGACCATTATTCAGCCTTAAAAAGAAAGGAAGCTGGGTGTGGTGGTACATACCTGTAGTTCCAGCACTTGGGAGGCTAAGGCAAAAGGTGGAGGGGAAGGAAACTCCAGTCAGCCAGAGGTACATAGGGAGATGCTGTCTAAAAAACCAAAAAAGCTAAGTGCCAGCGGCTCACGCCTGTAGTACTAACTGCTCAGGAGTATTGTGGTTCAAAGCCAGCCCAGAGCAAATAGTTTGAGACATCCTATCTCAAAAAAAAAAAAAAATTCACAAAAAATGGGCTGGCGGAGTGGCTCAAGGTGTAGTCCCTGAGTTCAAGCCCCAGTACCGCAAAAAAAAAAAAAAAAAAAAAAAAATCCACAGCATCTCAAAGAATTGTTTTCTTTTGTTCCAAAATAGGATCATACTATAACTAATGTGAAAATCCTCCGCAAGTATTAGAAACTCTGTTTATTATTCTCATTACTTTTCTGGCTAGTTCTAGCTCTTCTTTCCAAGCCCTGGAAAGTCCTGCCTGGCCCACTGTGCCTCTACACTACATCCAACGGCCAGTCTGCAGGTCCATCTTCTCCCCAGAATGTGAACTCCCTGAGGGGCGCAGGATGGAATCCTGTAATCCCAGAACCTGTCACAATGTACAAGATACACAGTAGGGCCATAGTTAAAAGTTCCTGCCTTGAAAATCCGATCACTAGAGGTTGAATCCTGGCCCTTACCACCTCTGTGTGACTTTGGGCAAGGTCCTTACTTAACCTCCCTGGGCCTCAGTTTCTTCAACTGCAAAGTAGGGTTAAAAATTATAAGTAGCTTTTTGACTTCGGTGAGGAACGCACAAGGAACTCAAGCACTTAACGCTTATAGCCCAGTGCCTGGTACACAGGAATTCAAAATAGTAATTGACTATTGTTAAGCTTTCTGTATGTCTGTTGCATAAGAAGCAGATGAGCCCAGCACAGGTGGCTCACACCTGTAATCCTAGCTATTGGGGAGGCTGAGATTGGCACGATCACAGTTCGAGACCAACCAGAGCAAATAGTTTCCGAAATCTCCAAAATAATGAGAGGTGGCTGGTGGAGTGGCTCAATGGGTGGAGCGCCTGCCTAGCAAGGCCCTGAGTTCAAACCCTAGTCCTACCAAAAAGAAAGAAAGCGAGCAAGCGCGAAATGGGCTAGACGTGTGGCTCAAACTGTAGAGCACCTGCTTTGAAACCTTGCAAGCACAAAGCCCTGAGTTCAAATCCCAGACTAACAATAGCAACAAAAAATAAAGTTAGGGCTGGGGTCTGGCTCAAGTAGAGCGCTTGCCTAGCATGTGTGAAGTCCTGGGTTCAATCCCCAATACCGCAAAAAAAAAAAGGAGGTAAGGCTGTAAATTTACAATAGCTTGCGTAACAGGGATTAAATTAGTATCAGAAGCTACTAATGAGCTCCTGGAGACCCGACTAAGCACTGGCAGCCCAGAGAGGCCAGGTGGGGGCGGGGCAGGGACCGGGGGCGGAGCCCGCCTGGTAGGTCACGTGCTGCGTGGGAGGCGGGGCTTGTGCGCGCCGGTCACGCGGCCCGGGGCTGACACTTCCGGGTGGGACGAGCGAGGCGGCGGGCGGGGGCTGGCGGCTGGTGGCAGGCATGGCGTATCACGGCCTCACGGTGCCACTCATCGTGATGAGCGTGTTCTGGGGCTTTGTGGGCCTCGTAGTGCCCTGGTTCATCCCCAAGGGCCCTAACCGGGGGTAAGTGCTCGAGGCCCACCTTGGGAGGGCGCACGGCGGGGACCGCGGGCCGGGGCGGGGGCGACGGCGACCCCGACTCCGCCGACCTGTGAGGCCCCCAGGAGCCCCGGCCTGCGTTGTCGCAGCAGCCTCAGTGTCCCTCGGTCCGAGCGTGGTGAGAGGGTCACCTCCAGAGGACCCTCCTTGGAAATGAGGTTTATAGGGGAATTTTTTTCTCTTCCTGAGCCTGGGTGGGGAGGGTGCAGTCGGAAAGGAGTTTAATCAATAGCGACTCCAGAAGTTGGGGTTCATCTCTAGCCGTTTTTCGTCCTGTCTTCCACCCATAGGAGGCCTCGTTGGCCCAAACTTTAAAAAGAATCAAATAAACAGAAATTGCCCGGTCGCGTCCCGGGCGTACTGAGCAAGGGTGAGCCGGGTCTGGCATCGCGTGGGGTGGCGGGGCGGTGGGGGAGGTGGTTGATGGAGCTCGAAGTGAATTACCCAGAGCAGAGGTATTGTTTGGAAACCTCTGCGTCATATCTTACCTTTCGGATGGCGAAGTGCTTCCAAGTGATTGGCTAAGAGAGATTCTTTGTTAAATCGACCTTTGTCTGTTTGGGTATTAAACTTTATTCACTGCGGTATAAAATCTTATCGTCAAAAGAGCCTTGGGACACCCTCTTTCTGGTTCCTCTTTTGCTTTTTAGTCATTTTTTTCTCAGCAGGATCCCGTGGGGGTGAGACTCAAGTCAGCTTGCCGGAAGCGCTATCTCTTGCTTTAATCCTTATTTTGGTGGCTATTCCAGTACCTAATTTCACAGCACTTGCGTATGCAGTAGACAAGTATCTGTTGAGTGGGTATTTCTGTTGCCTTGTTATTTTCATTTTTGCTGTTTGGAATAGACTTGCTTGTATTCCTTCTATTAGACTGAAAATAAACCATATTGTCTAAATATCAATGTTCTACCCCCCCAGCCCTTCATAACTGCTGTCATATAGGATCACATGTCCAGCTTATAGTAGTTGATGTAGTGTCAGGATTCTGGGGTATTAAAACCATTTTTTTAACCAATTTATTTCGACTTGTTTTTCCTAGTGTAGTTAAAGACAGCAAATTGGTTGCTTTTACATCTTCAACTGTCTCATCACACCACTGTCTGCTTTTCTGGCCTTCAACCTCAGAAAAGCATTCATTAATGTGCTTGTTGGCGGCCATGACCACTACTTTCTTAAACACTAAGCTCTCCCACCCCGGGATCTAACGCTACTTCTACTATCCAGGGTAATGAACCCCCTCCTGTTTGTGCTCAGTTTCTAGCCCTAGTGTAGTAATTCTGGTATTTGACCTGCTAGTGTTAGATTATCTCACCCTCTCATTCACAAGCCTTCACCACAATCCTTGTATTTCCTGCTCTTGGCAGGATTGAGCAGGTCTAGAAACAGTGTCTCTGAGGAGTGACAGGGTTACACTTTGAGGAACACTCCTCTTATGTGGATGATCTCTGTGACCTTGGACAATTGAGATAATTCTATTTTCCCATTTCCTCTTTGTAAAATGGAAACATTCGTATTGAATTGATACTAGTTCTCCTTTACATACGGAAAAGACTGCAAATCAGATTTTTTTTTAAGCACCTGGACTGTGGTGATTCTTTTTTTAGTTTTTTTTTTTTGACATTGTGGGGTTTGTACTCAGGCCTGAGCTTGTGTGTCTACCACCTGAGCCATGCTCCCAGCCCAGACTGGTGAATTTTAATATAGCAGTGCTTTCAGATTTCAGACATTAAGAATATCTTCTTTAAGGAGATAAGTAAAGGAGCTATATAAGCAGGGAGAAAGGTAGAGTACTTTGGTGTTAACATTTTCTTCCCTGAGTGACCCCTGCACACTGCAGAAAATTGGGTGATTAGGAGGTCATCAGGACATGATGAGCCAGGGAAAAGATGGGAGGAGGGAAAACTTCTGAATCTTTGGTAGCTGAAAGCAAGCCTCTTGCTCTTTCTTTCAGTCTTTTCTGTAACTGAAAAAAGAATGGGATAGCCAGGCGCTGGCTGCTCACGCTTGTAATCCTGGCTACTCAGGAGGCAGAGATCAGGAGGATCACTGTTCGAAGCCAGCCCGGAGACACTACCGCCAAAAAACCCAACACTAAAACAAGGCTGGGGGCTGGGACGTAGCTCGGTGGTACAGCGCTTGCCTAGCATGCTTGAGGCCCTGGTTTCAATCCCAGCACCAAAAAAGAAAAGACAAAAAAAAAAACAAGGCTGCAGGAATGGCTTGAGGGGTAAAGCACCTCCCTAGCAATTGTGAGACCATGAGTTCAAGCCCCAGAACTACCGTACCAAAAGAAACACAGTGGGATAAAATCGAATCTGTGCCTGCAGTCAGCTTTCCTAGTCATTCCTGTTCATGATTTCCCACTTTTCTCTTTAGGAATCCATGGATTCTCTGAAAGCTTCAAGGTTTTTTGCAGTGGCTCCCTTACCAGATGTGGAGGGAGGTACAGGGAAAGAACACAGGGATTAGTGTGTGTGCCAGGAGTAGTCAGCTCCAGTTTTTTAAATCAACATTTTCAAATTCAAACATGCATAAAATCTGAAAGGGTAACTCAGTGAGTGCCTTATACCACCAACTAGATCCAGCAATTAAGCAGTCATACTTGCTTTATCTCTGAATACATGTGTGTATATATATATGACTAAAATTTTGCTGAGCCATTTGAAAATAAATTGCAGTCATTGGGACTTATCGCTCCTAAATATTTCAGCATATAGCACTTGAGAAGCAGACAAGGAAGCTTTTATATGAAACTGTTGTTGTGTTGTGGGTAACACAAGGGAGCCACAGAAGTTTCAGCTTTCTGAGACGATCTTTTAGGGAGAAGAGAAGACAGGGGGCATGGGGAGGATCAGGAGAAGATGAGCAAAAGCTTGGAATCGAAGACCCATAAACAGGATGTGTTTGAAGGCAGGAGGAGTTGAGGATTTTTTTTTTTTTTTTTTTTGCTATGTAGCCCAGGCTGGGACCTCAAACTCACTATCCTCCTGCCTCTGCCTCCAATGTGCTGGGGTTACAGCAAATTTGTGCCACTATACCTGGATGGGTGGGTGACTTTGGTCACAAGTGTGGAGCTGAACTTGATTCTATAGGTCTTCACTTTTGTGCATCTGTCAAACTTTTTTTAGCAAAGCCCTCATAAATATTTATATAAGTATAATTATATATTTTGAAGAATCTGCCTTCAAAGTATGTCTAGAGTCTGCCTGAGTCTTTTGCCACCCACATTCTGACCAGCCTTACCTACTTGGGTCTTGCTGTTCTCCCTAACTGGTTTGTCTGCTTTTTCCTTTTGCCTCTTTTCCCCCAGCCTGTCAACCCATCTGAAAGATTTTGTCAGTTTTCTTCCTCAGATCCCCCAAAAAAACCTTCCCATTAACTCCAATAAAAGTGTTTTCACTGAGTCCTTTCACAGGCCACAGGACACCTCTAGACCTTACCTCTTTCTGTGCTGTCCTTGCCGCACTTCAGCTACTCAGGTCTGTCCCTCTAAACCTCAGATATCCTCTTAGCTCATGCCTTGATTTACTGCTTTCCCCTGCCTGGAGCCCTCCTGCCTGAATAGCCTCTTTAAAATCTCCACGGTACCCCCAAACCCGTCTTTCCTGTCCTCTGTTCCTGCTTTGTGCTCTTTCATCAGCACTGGCTGCCATAAGATAATTATTCTTGGTTTATTTTGTATCTTGTTTGCTGTGTACACACACACACACAGCATGTAAACTTGCAGGGCAGGGCAGAAGTTTTTATCCATTTTGTTCACTGCTTTGTCCTCAGAGCCTGGTACATTCTGAATACTCTGAGCAAATCTGTCAAATGAATTTGTGTACTAATGGATCAAACACAGGAACTGCACATACAGAATTTCTAAAGGACCAGTTACAAATAAATATAAATAGGATATTTATATTTGCTTCCCAAGTTCTAGGAGTTAGCCTTGCTCACTCCTGGAGGTAAGGAGTCCCCTGTTTGGAAACCACTCTGATGGTGATGGGTGGAGGGGAGGCACTGAAAGGTCTTAAGCTGCAAAGTAGTAATAGTTTAGATAGATTAATTTCTAGTGATTGTGGATGGAATGAAAGGGGGTGGAGGAAAGTTTTGAATCTGCCAGCAATAAGTTAGCCAAGCCAAAGTGGTGGATTTTGTTGCTAAGAATGGGAATGGAAAGGAAAAACTCCACTTAGGAGGGATGCCTGGAAGGATGAATCCACACCATCAGTGAGGGTGCGGGTACAGGGGAAGGTAAGCAGATGATAGGTTTAAGGGTGAATCTGTGAAAATGACAGAGTTGCTTGTAGGGAGGTAGATTTTCCCTCCCTCCCTCTTCTCCTTCATTTCATACCCCTCCTTCCTTCCCTTCCCTTTTCTTTTTTAGTGCTAGGGATTGGACCCAGAGGTGTAGTGTTCCTCATGATAAGCATGCACACTACTGGCCACAGTCCCTTCCTTGAAGAGCAAGAGATTTAGAAGGAGAGCTTTTGGAAAGAGGAAATCATGAGTTCTCTTTTAGAAATGTTGAAATCCAGCTGATCAGAGATCCAAGTTGAGCTCTTCAGACATGAAGATAGATGGGGAGAGGTCCATGTTAGAGAGCGTAGTGTTAGAAGTTCATCACAGAGAATACTGTCTACTAAGGTTATTACTGTCAAAACTAATTGTTGCTACAGACTTTTCTGTTCAGTTTTAGATGAGTTTCATTGGACATCTAAGCTGTGGCATCATTACATATCCCTCTAAATACGAATGTTTACTTATGATCTAACTTTCTACCACGTGTGCCCCACTTCCGCCTACTGGATATTGGAACACATTCATTCTGTTGTCCTGGTGTGTGGTCCTTGGCAGTTTGATGATGTGGGAAGGGGACTTAAGCCATTCTTCACTGTAGTTTGCTAGCTATCTAATAATGTTGGGTTTTTTTTGTTTGTTTTTAGAGTTATCATCACCATGTTGGTGACCTGCTCAGTTTGCTGCTATCTCTTGTAAGTATATTGTCTCTTATAAGTAGCTTTTTCCTAAAATAATAAGCAATCTTTCTTGGTATTATTTGTAATGTGTGCAATTTATACATTTGTTTCATTGGATTTAACCCTCATGTAATACCTAGAAATAGTGTCCTCAAATGGAAAATATCACACTTTTCCAGTGTTCCGTATATTACATAAGATCTGTGCAGATGCTCTGTTCTTCTGAGAATACAAGTATAATTAATTGGCACAAATATAAAGCTTATAATTAGCTGGAAATTATAATTATCCTATTTATATTTTAACATTGTGAATATTTTTACCTCATTTCATTTACATATTCTACTGTGAAGCTAGTAGAGCCATTTCTTTAATTTTTTTTAAATGTTATTTTAAAAAATGGATGGTACTGAAGGTGGAACCGAGAACCTCATGTTTCCTAAATGTGCACTCTACCATTGAGGTACTCCCCCAGCCCCCAATAAAGCCATTCTTTATTGTGACTTGTTTATCTTTTGAGCTGGAATTATAAAATCAAGTAGAGTAAGCATACTTAAGGCATTTAAAGCAGTTACAACTCACATTTTTGTGTTAAATGATGGTGATTGATTGCTTTACTACTGACACTCGGATGATGGGGCTTTCTGAAGTTTGCTTATTTTTTTTTTGTTTTGTTTTTGTTTTTGTTTGTTCTTTTCAGTTTAGACAGTCGAAAGAGGCTTTTTAGGTGATGGATTAGTCTCCAGAGTAGAAACCGACAAGTAGCTTGTGACAGGAATTGCTACACCACCTGTGCTTAGCTCTGAAGAGTAAAAGAGCAAATGCATAATTCATAATTTTAGTAAGGGTGACGAGGGAACATTCATCTGTCCTGCCAAATCTACAGAAATTCGAAGAGAGCTTTTTTTCCCTTGCTGGTCCTGGAGTTTAAACTCAGGGCCTCAGAATTACAAAACAGGTGCTCTACAACTTGAGCTGTGCCTGCAGCCCTTTTTTGCTTTAGTTTCTTTTCAGGTAGGGTCTTGGTGGGCCTTAGACCACAATCTTCCTATCTCTGGCCTCCCACAAGTAGCTGGGATCACAGGGTGCTGCCACACCTGACCTATTGGTTGAGATGGGATTTTGCTAACATTTTGGACAGACTGGCCTCAAACCATGATCCTCCACAAGGGAGCCCTTTATCAGTGTGGTGACATGGAGTGGTCCTATGATTGTAAAGACTTTTGAGGGCTGGGAGGGTGTGGCTCAAGTACTAAAGCACATGTCTAGCAAATGCAAAACTCTGGGTTCAATCCCTGTTACTGCTCCCCAAAAAAGGACCATTGGTTTTAATTTTGCTTTGACTATCCCTGCAGTATAAGCAGTAAGGTTGGTGGTGGTATCTTTTTTGTTTGTTGAAGTGGGATGATGAGACAGGGTCTCACCATGTGATCCTCTAATTGTACACATAAATACATACTTGAATATATGTATGTATACACACACACACACACACACATACAGACATAGAGGGACAGGAAGGGAGCATGATTGTATAAGTGGGTCTGTCTAAGGGAAAGAGAATGTTAGAGAGTGAAAAATACTGAAACATCACATCTGTGTGAAGATAGTACAGTGTGATGCTCTGTAAACTGTTGAATAATAGGGGAGCAGGTGATAGAGAAAGAGTAAGTGATGAGGGTTAATCTGATGAAAGCATGATATATACATGTGTGACTTACCAAGGCAAAACCCCCATATACTATCAATGTACACATTTTAATAAATGAAGGACAGGAAGGTAAAACAGGTCCTTTCTAGGGATGGGTATCACTGGGGGGCCTAAGGAAAGGGTGAAGGAGGGCAAATATGTTGATGTATTTTATATTCATATATGAAAATAGAATAATGAAGCCTGTTGAAATTGTTCAAGAAGGGGGAAAGGGGGATGCACAACAATGGAGGGGGTGAATCTAATTAAGATAAATTGTAAGAATATGTGTAAATGTCACAACGTATCCCCTCTGTATAACTATTACATGCTAATAAAAAAAAGGCAAATAGCCTAGAAAAACAGTCCTCTGCATTCTTCTGCTGGGATTATTGGTGTGCACCACCGTGCCCAGCTGCTAGTGGTAGCTTAAAAAAGAAAGAATGCGGAGTGGCTCAAGTGTTAAGGGCACCTTGCCTAGCAAGCGTGAGGCCCTGTGTTCAAACCCTAGTACTACCCAAAAAAAGAAAATTATTGCATAGAGGAATGACTTGAGAGTAAACCAAAACGGGACAAACATATCTTATGGCTTTTTGTTTGAAATGGATTTAATGTTCTTTGAAAAAAAAAAAAAAAAAAAACTTTCAACCAGTCTCATGCCCTTTCGTTCTCATTGTAAACTGAGTGGTTAGAAAACGACATGGTTGAAAATGATTTCATTTTGTCCATTTCCTCTTTTGTCTTCAAGTGCTGGTGACTGTTCTGTTGAGGGTGGACTGTGCAGCCCTTAGTGTATCAGTAAGGGCAGTTCATAGTGTTCTTAAGTTAAAGGCTTCTAGAGATCAGTTTATGGGGTGTTGAAACCACTTTTTTCTTTTGTTTCTTTGAAACCTAGTATATCCTATTTAACAAGATACTGCCTGGAAAATTTGGATTCAATTCATATTCCAAATATTTCACATCTCATTCCACAAAGAAATGAGATTCTGCACTAAAATAAATTTGAAATTCAAAAGAAAATTTACCATTGTGGATAAGGAATTTTTTTTTTTTAAATATATCTTTTGAAGTAAGGCACACCCGAAGAAACTTTGACTTTCCTAAACAAAGTCCTGTTTTGAAATGCATTCATGGGCTTTTAAATTGCCTTCTGTTCGTGGCTGGTTTTCCCCTTGGCAGTTTGTTCTAGATTAAGATTTGATTTCTCCAGCGCAGAGCTTGTTTGAGCTCTGAATAAATCAGGTTCTTGACAAGTATCAACTAGTTTCTGTTAATAGTTCAGTAGGGAAAAGTTTGAGTGTTTGTATGGTTTTGGTTTTTTGAGACTTGAGTCTCTCTGTGTAGTTCAGGCTGGCTTCAAACTTGTAACCTTTCTGCCTGAGATTCCTGTGTGCTGGGATTATAGGTGTATGCCACCATGCCCAGTTCCCTTAGGTTAATTTTTTATTAGAAATTAAATGTTACATTGTGAAAATACAGTTGCTTTTTGGAAAATGTGCTCTGTCTTTAGTAGCTAACTAAGTGTATGTCTTAGAAGCAGAGTGAGACAAAAGGAATACTAAAGAGAAATCAAGGGACCCTAGTTATTCTAGGCTGAGTAATACTTGGCTTGATTATCTTGTAGTGAGTTTTAAATAAGATGCCCTGTGTGAACACTTAGAAGAGAGGACAAGAAAATGTGAAGTAGTGGGCTGGAGATATGGCTCAAGTGGTAGAGCACCTGCCTAGCAAGTGTGAGGTCCTGAGTTCAAATTCTAGTATTGCCAAAAATTTTGTCTATTTGTGTGTGTGTGTAAATTATTTAATTCAGAGAACTGTATTTTACTTGTGAGTGCAGCTTGCCTGCAGAGCTGTTGTAGCATGTTTTGTTTTGGTACAAGGTCTTGCTTTGTAGCCCTGGCCAGCCTCAAAGTCAAAGTCATGCCTGCCTTAGCTTCCCGAGTGCTAGACTTAAGGTGCGTACCACCACATTCGAGCTTTAGCATATGTTTTATCTTACGGTATTTATTTATCTTGAGATGGGGTAGAGGGGAGGGTCCTCACCATGCTGACCTTGAACTTTTGATCTCCCTCCCTCAGTGGGGATTACAGGTATGTGCCACTACATCTGGCTGTGTAGCATGTCTTCTATTGGGCCTTACTAGAGTCCATTCACTCTGTACATTTATTTAGGGTCTGCTGTGTATTGGGCTCTTGATACATAGCAGTGAATGGCATGAGACAGTCCTCTGCCTCTTTAGTGAGGAGAAATTGACAAGAAATAAACAGAGCCAGAGGGGCCCCTTCACTCACTTCCCAGGCATGCCCCAACCACTCCTTCCTACAAGCACCTATTCAGCTGTGACCCTAAAAGATTGCCCCCCACTTCTCCTTCAGCTGCCTGTTGCTGCCTAGCACACGGAGACCTACACAGCTCACAAGAGCTCCTCACATGTCCAGCAATGTGCTGGTCCGACCTGAGCCCAGCTGTGCTACTGGCATTGTGAGTCCTGGCTCTAAAGCACGTTTGGCACAGGACATTAGTCACCTCCCAGTGGCCACAGTGGTCCACTTTGTTTTCTAGTCAGGTAGCCTCAAGCTGGGACTTCAGTGATGCTTGTCACTCATTGTAGCATGCCTTCTTTTTTTATAACTTATTTTTATTTATTCATTAGAGGCAGTGTCTTACTATCTTGCTCAGGCTGGTTTCAAGCCCCTGAGCTCAAAATATCCTCCTGTTCCAGCCTCCCTAATAGCTGGGATTACAGGTGGGCACAACTATGCCCAGCAACATTTTTGGTTTTGAATTTTTTAAACCTATTGTAATCTCTGTATAATTTTACCCATTACCCACCTTCAAAAATTATTGAGCCAGTTGTGGTGGTACACACCTATAATCCCAGCACCTGGGAAACTGAGGCAAGGGAATTCCACATTTGAGGCCAGCCTGAGTGTTACACAGGGAGTTCCAGGCCAGCCTGTACTGTAGAGTGAGACCCTGTTTCAAAAAATCAAAAAAGATGGAATGGCAGAGTGATACAAGTGGTAGAACACCTGCCTACAAGTGTTAGGCCCTAAGATCAAACCCCAGTATCACAACAACAAAAAAAAAAATCAAAAAGAAAAAGTACTTATCACCTCACTGCCAATCTGTTTCACCCCATCCCCCACGCTTTTCCTTCCACTTCAGATTATTTTAAAGCAAATTTAGTGCATTTGTAGGTACTTCCATGTGTCACAAAGATAATCAGTGATTTCAAGTATAACCACAGTGCCATTATTATTTCCCCAAATTAATCCTTTATAGTACCACAGATGCTATCATTTAGATTGCCCCAACTTTCTC